GGAAGTGAATCTGAGATGGGAGACGTTAAGCCTGAGGTATGAGCTTATCCCTTCTCAATCAAACCCTATCTCAATGGGATCCTTGTACATCAGCTGAAAAGAGAGGAGCACCATTTAAACACAGACTTCTGCTCTGAATGATCTCCAAGACGAGGCGTCTCCGCTCCTCCTACCTGAATGAATGGGGAAATTCCTCTCGTTTAATAATTACAACCTTTAACTGAGTTCAGAGGGTGATTCCAGACAGTTAGGTGTGCATTTCAATGGGACGAGAGGAAATGCAAAACGTGTTTTCATTAAACTTTTCTACATCTTTTTTTTAGGCAAATATTTCTTTTGCTGTAATCTCATGAGCACATTTGGCCCATTTACACAGGTAAATAATTCATAATGACCTTCAAAATGGGGAAAAAACTGAGCCGTTTTGGCATCAGAAGTAGAGTTTTTGGCGTTTAAACAAATAAATCACAGTTTGCAATGGGTAATTTCCAGTATTGCATAATCTGGCAGGAGGAATCTTTTTGAGGTTTACCTATTTTTTCTAAACCATTTGATTTAACCCTTGTGCTGTGCTGAAAATCCTTTACCTACAGTAATGTGGTGTTCCAGGTCAAAAATCTCTCATTATGAAATTATGACCAAATCACACATTCAATCTTTTAATCAACTTGTTTTCATTCAGTTAGCACAAGTTTTGTATTACTTTTTGGAACTGATTATAGTCCTCAATGATCTGAGCTCATGCACCTCAGTTTACAAGTAAATAAAACAAAACATTATTTGTGGATAATTTTGGCTTATTCATTTAAAATCAGAGGTGCATAAACTCAGATCAATGAGGATTATGACCATTCACTTCCAAAAAGAAAATGATAAATTTTTAGCGAAGTTGTAAGCAAAGTCAGTAGGTTTTAATCATTAATTAGCATTTTCGGGAAAAAGAAAATCCACTCGGTCAAAATGACCGGAACAAAACATGAGGGTTAAAGCAATATAAGCTGTTTTGTTTTTGAAACAAAATCTGTTCATTTGTTAAGTTAATTTGTGCTTTTTTTTATTCTTGATGATTCAGCAAAAACGTGCATATCTTAAAGGATGACACGGTTGAAACGTCTGCAAAAAGCTCAGGGTTAAAAGTTTAATGTTGTTCAAGTTAAATGTGGCTCTTGTTCTAAACAGTATCACATTGCAATAGGGCTGTGCGATATGGACAAAAAAAAACCTATCGCGATTTCTTTGATCAATTTTGCGATTACAACCTATCGCGATTTCTTTGATCAATTTAGCGATTTCGATTTTAATCTCGATTTTGACACACACAGACATGCTTTACAGTCATAAATGCATGTGCAAAGTGAATTTGAAACATATTTCCAAAAGAAAACCAATTAGAGCTTTATCAAAAAGCTGTAACATGTCTCTAGAACAGACATAAGGCAAAATAATCACTAAGTAAAAGTGTAACAAAATGTCTCTAAAATAAAATTAATAAATCCAGTGTCCAGAGATTTTTTTTTTTGCCATGCATTGGTCATAGAGCTCTTTGTGGCATTGCCTCAGATGTTGAACTAGATTTGTTGCGCCAAGTTCACACGTACTCCGTCTGCAGTACGTATACAGTATGTGTATGCGGTGCAGAAGCAGCACGGATTTCGCACAGGACGCGTTTGCAGTCCGCTCCTGATCCGCGGCTGTTTACCTCAAACACAACATTTATCCATTATTTTGATTTCAAATCCAAACGTTGTTTCTGAAAATGCTTTTCAGCATTGTGATTCTCTTTTATCACAGTACACTGTCACTTTAATTCAGCGCGTGCAGCACAGCAGAAATAGATGACTGCTGCAGACGCATCGCTCCTGGATCGCACTGCCGGACCACAATCGCGTGCAGTGTGAACGCTCTGATCCGTTAACATGGGTGCGGAAAAAATACGCATCACAGACGGAGTGTGTGAACCTGCCGTTACGTTTGTATGCCCGCCCGGTTTGTTCTGTTCTCGTGCTCCATTTAGGCGCGCTGCATTCTGATTGGTTCGGATAGCATACTGCGGGAGGATTGCAATATTGTAAACATAGCTTTAAACATATTTTCTGTGTTCCTACTGCTAGTGGGGCATAAAGTGGGTTGAAGTTGATATCAGTGAGGTCATTGCTTTCATCACTGGCGCCGTTATCTCAAACACTCTCATTTGACGGACACTCACCAGACTTTACTTGGTTACTCCAACCCTACTACCAAATCGACTCGAGACCATATACAGTCAAATAACTATAGAATTGCATCATGCGAGCGTTAAATCCGAAACAAAGATGTGGAACAGAAATAGAAAGTCTGCTTATCTTACGTGTCTTAACATGGAGGCCTTCGCTTGGCTGCCTCCACAGACTGCAGGTTTTTCTGCTCAACGTCTCATCATTCTAGGGATGCCATTCCCAGTTGCTGCATAATAGCAGCACTGTGACCAAATGATTTCCATCATGCCGGAACAATTACGGCCCGCTCTGATTGTCTGGAACTGAACAAACGGTCCTGAGGTGGCTTCTGCGCTTGCAATCCGTTCTGGATGCGATGGTGGTCTCGTGGTATGCAGACGTTAAAGAAAAGCATGACCCTGCTGAGCATGTTTGGAAACTCTGGAATGGATGAATTTTCAACTTTACGTGTTTAACAAAACCTTAGACTCAACAGCATGGCGTGTCAAAACTTTGAGATACGTCATGTGACTTTCACTCCAAGGCTCTGTTCTAAAACCTAGTGCGATGTCTTCATAGTCTTCAGTGAGCTCCCAATGCAATAGCTGTTGTATAAGGTGGAAAGCATGATTACAATGGTGTCTAATTTACCAAAAAAATATTAGTAAAAAAAAATAGTCTAATCTACCAAATACTTTTTTTCTATTAGCAAACTTTCTCTCTATTTATTTCTTTATTTTTCCCAAATCATTCATGTATACTATCACTCCAAAGTTTGGGGTCAGAAAGAGTTTTTTTTTTCTTCTTGAAAGAAATTAATACTTTTATTCAGCAAGGATGCATTAAATTGTGATAGTAAAGACATTTACAATGATACAAACTATTTCTATTTCAAAAAATGCTGTTCTTTTGAATTTTCTGTTCATCAAAGAATCCTGAAAAATAAAATGTATCACAGTTTCCACAAAAATATTAAGCAGCACAACTGTTTTCATCATTGATAATAATCAGAAATGTTTCTTGTACAGCAAATCAGCATATTAGACTGATTTCTGAAGGATCATGTGACACTGAAGACTGGAGTAATGATGCTGAAAATTCAGCTTTACATCACAGGAATAAATTACATTTTACAATACATTCAACTAGTAAACAGTAATTTTAAAGTGTAATAATTTTTCATAATATTATTAAATAAACACAGCCTTGATGAGCATAAGAGACTGCTTTCAAAAACAAAAATCTTACTAACCCCAAACTTTTGAACAGTGGTGAATGAGGTTTCATTTCTAATAGGTTGCTGCCTTATTAGACTGCTGCCTCTCTAGAGAGCAGAAAAACAAAGCTGACTAGTTTTTGGAACACAGCTCAAGAGCAGATCACAGCTCAGTGTTCATTCCCCCGGGGTACGCTGGGATACGAGTGAATATGAGTCACCTGGCTCCGCTCTTGAATGGCAGGAATCCAGGGGGTCAGGAGAGGGGAAAAGACAGGACTATTTTCAAATGCCCCACACAGAGAACTGCACAAGCGGCAGGTGGCCAGGACTCATGGATCGCCAGAGGATCTGAGATCTGTTGTGAGTTTGGAAGAAATCGAGGTTTCGATGACGAATGCTCTTGATTAAAAAGATCATGGACTGACGTTCTCAAGACCCAAAGGCATGTTTATGTTATTCAGCAAACATTCATCTCTTGTTTCGTGTTTCTCCATCAATGACTGAATACTGATGGGATAATGTCAGAATACTTAATGGTCCATATCAAAAAGTTCAAGAGATTTATGAAGAAGAAACTGGCTGCATACGGATGACCTGAAGAACTCGAACACATTAACTGCATTTTTACATCATTTTTACATTATTTTCTGAAGAAATTGTGAGAGCTGCTTACCCACATTAAGCTTGTTGACATGACTAGCATGTTCTGGGTGGTTATTAGGGTGATGCTATGCAGTTGGTGCTAATATCACTGTAACAGAACTTTTAGTTATGTCAAGGATTTATAATACAATTTTGTGGCTTTTCAGAAAAAATTGCAAGACATTTTCAATTTATGTTTGAGGTATGTATATATGCCTGGGTCATATTTCATTTCATAAATCAAAAGAAATTGTGAATAAAAATGTAGAGCCTAAAAAATAAATGAACAAAAACTTCACCCGCAAAATCAAATAAAATTTAGCATTAGGAAAGTACTAGAACCTAAATGTATGTTCCTAAAGATATATATAATAATACTTTTATACTAAAGGTATAAATACTAAAGTACTTTTAATTATTTCTTGATGTTACAAGACAGTTTTGTGGATTTTTACAGATTGCAAGATTGCTTTTTGAGGTGTGTGTGTTTATGTCAGGGTAATATTTCACCTGAAAAATGTAAAGAAATTTTGCATAAAAAATTTAGAACCTAAATATGTTTAAAAAAACGTATAACTAAATAAATATTGCATGAATAAATAATTTTTAGAACCTAGAATTATGTTCCTAAAAATAATACATAGAACAAACTGGTTATTTTTATGTGTTTACGTGTTGCTTAAGCTTGTTGGCATGATTGTAGCATGTTCTTGGTGGTTATTAGGGTGATGCTATGTGGTGCTAAAATCATGGTAACAGATGTTCTCTTGTGGCTTAACAAGACTTAGATATTTCAAGGATTTATAATAAAATTTTGTGGGTTTTTACAGACTGCAAGAGATATTCCATTTCATTTTTGAGGTATTTGTGTGTGTGGTTATAAATTCCCATGAAGTAACTATGAGAAGAATTCACCAAAAAAAGAGCGGTTCAGTGAGACTCACCAACTGTGTCACAAGGCTCATCTTTATGGACGCAAAAATCTGTTCTGGAGAGAGAAAACAAGACAAGAGAGAAACAGAAACAAATGTTAGATAATAGAAAAGCGAATCAAATGAGATCTATATTGTTTCTCCAACACAGCAAGGAGATTAAAAAGAGGGCAAATGGAGACTCCTTTTCAGATTTTTCTCCTGTTAATCTCACATTTGTTTCAACTAGAGTTTCAGAGACCTCAAAAATGTCTCAAACAATGCTCAGACACCAAATTTTGCAGTCAAAAGTCAAGAGATTACTTACTATGAACAAATATTTTTCATAATTTCTTCCATGAACAAATGAATCAATGCTATTTACATTCACTGGCAGATGAATTTTGGGACTTGGTTGGCCGATAAATGAAACATAACTGAGATGTTCATTGCACATTCATTTACTTGTGTATTATTTATTTATCAGATAAATAAACTAACCATATTCAAGACAACGAAAGCAAACATTAAAGGCAAAACAGCAAATAGTCTTTAGTAAACTTGGAATGAAAAGCTGATATATAATATCTTGAGAAGCTTCAATATATCTGTGAAACAAAAGGGTCCTTCTGAAAATGTTTTTGTTTGTTTGGATGCCTGTTGCCTGAACCTGACCTCTGATGGTTAAATAGTGCATTGTGGGAAAACCACAGTGTTTTTGCTGTAACTGTGCGCTCCTTTCCCCTGTGTGGCGTTCCTCCATCAGTTAAAGGAGTAACACTTCAAAACAACAGTAAATTAATCAAATCCAGCTCATTTCCTGCTCGACTGTTATTTACATGAGGAGTGAACCAGCCACAATGCTCAAGAGAAGTTGCAACAACCAGACAAGAGTGGCATGAACTCAATATGACACCAAAACTTCAGACAGTGATGGCAGTAGAGCAATTCTGTGACTTCTGATGCATAAAACCGCTAACTAGCGTTCAGGACTGACACTCAAACACACGCAAGGGTGAATCCCACGATGCCTGTCAAGATGTCCGAGTTATTTTTACCCCAAAACCAAAAGAAATTTTGCATGAGGAAATGTTTTGTAGAAGCAAAAAATATGAAACAAATAAAATAAAAATAAAATAAAATAAATACAACTTTCACTCCAAAAACTGAAATTAATTTATTTTTTGAAACGTAGAAGCCAAAAATATGTTCCAAAAATAAATAAAAAACAATATAAATCACCCCAAAATCTAAAATATATTAGATATAAAATAAAATAAAAATATTTCACTCCAAAAACTGAAAATTATAATTATTTTTTAAAATTTAGAACATAATAAAAAATATATTCCAAAAAGAAATAAAAGAAAAGAAAAATAACAACCACAAAACAT